TATTTGCGTTCAAAATAAGTTAGGAAATTTATTGTTTTTGCTCTAGTATATGTTAAATACACTGCTATAGGGATATATTTAAAAAAATATGGGTTAGTTTGATTTCAGGGAAAATATCGATAGATACAACAAGCTATAACCAAGGACGTTTGTATTGGCCAAGCTATAAGATATTGCGGGTAATAGTTCGCGCGCAATGGCATATGTCATACTGTAAAGTTGATCACACTCGAACAGCATGACAGCAGCGACACTCGCACGTGGCGTATGCGCGGTTTCTAGAACTTTCGGTGCTACCTACCGCCGGGAGAAACAAAGCGCAGCTAACACTTGCGATAAAGTATCGAAGTCGTTCGGAATGTTTGCGATTATTTTGTATATTCTGCTTCATATCATTCGAAATCCGTAAACTGACGTTACATTCGAGTCTCGCGCTTTGTTATGTTATTGGAAATATTCAAACGTTGGAGCATTAGTACTCTGATTTCGTTCCGGAGCATCTCGTCCGATTAGATGCCATGCGTCTAGCTATTTCGTGCGTATTACCACGCAGTTCCTGTAAAGCTACTTGTGAAACTATAATACATACGAACTCATGAATAAATTGTAGAACAGTGCTATTCATAAATCTGTGTGTCTGACATTTATTGGTGACGTTCAATCAACCTATATCCTGACATAAACATTTATTAAGCTAAAGATCTCCACGACCATTCAGTAAAAACGAACATTTAGAAATAACGATCACATCTGATAAGTGGGAGCTTGCCTGCTTATCTCTTACACTTTGTAATCGCCTGTACATACTTGCGACCTGCTTGTACACGATTTGCTTTCTAACCACCTGCACATATTCGCGACCTGCTCGTACACGCGATCCGCTGGTATATATTGTATATACACGCATAAAAAGGATTTAGTAATATTAGCTATTTCTGCTAAACTGCAAATGTGATTTTTTGCGTAAAGAGTAACGCTCCAAAGTTTAAACTAGTTTATGTTACAAGTACGTAATTAGCACTAAATTATAGCGTAAATGTTTTTTATGTATCCATATTATTTTTGGTACTTTTCTCTTGTGCGATATACATTTTAGGATTGCTTCAGGCGAGAAGGGTAGTGCACCAAAATTGAAACTAGGATATGATAAAAACACACAATTAGCACTAAATAATAGCGTGATTATTTTTATTTTTACCTTTTTAATGTGTATTCTAACTTTCTTAAAAGCTAGCAGAAAAATGATTTTTTACTAAACGGTTAGAGCAACAAAATTGGCATTACAGCAACAAATTAGCACAAAAAAAGAGCACTAAATCCTCCGTATGTCTCATGTGATTATGCTCATGTTGGTATTCTAGTTTGATAGACATACATCTATTCTCATCGGTTGATGCCTAATAATTTTTTACTGTTTTACGAATAAGAATATATTATATAAAAGATATGCGTTTCGCGAGTTTCCTCCGTGTCTAGATTCGTTCTTGAAATGCCAATGTTTCGTGAACCTTGCAGTCCACTTTATCAGGGCGAAGAGCAGCCTGATACCGAGCTGTTCCTCTGGGTCGTTCCTTTTTATACGCTACTTGTTGGAGTGGTGGGGGGAAAGAAGAGAATTATGGATGAAGGAGGGGGGAAGAGAGAGAGGAAGGGGAATTGGTCAGTCTTCAATAACCGGGAGAATGATTTTTCATATTTTATTTATGTTGTAGCCATTATCTTTATTTAGATTGTTAGGATGTTTCTGTATCTCTATGACTTCTCTATACTTTCTTGGAATGTATGAAGCAATGTTGGCTATTGTGGTCGTTTTATCAAACAGTATTTGATGTCCTGTTTCGATATTGTGTTCTGATAATGCTGACTGCGTGACGTATTTTAGCCTGACGGTACGTTGGTGTTCTTTCATTCGTAGGTAGACCATTCTCCGGGTTTCTCCAATGTACCATATACATACTTGCCCGCAGAAATAAGGTATTTTGTATACTCCTGCGGTACTGAGTCTAGAGGTCTCTGATCTTTAGGATTTCTTAAGATTTGTCCTATCTTTTTGGATGGTTTAATGATAGTTCGGATATTGTGTTTGTTTAATATCCTGCCAATCCAATCTGTTGTTCCTTTGATATATGGGAGAATGGATAGAATCTTTTCGTCTGGTTGTGTGTCAGAGACCGTTGTCTTGTTTGCATGTTTATTGATTGTTTTCATTATGTCTTTTTTGTCGTGTCTGTTTTTCTGTAAGGTTAGTTTTAAGTGATTGAGTTCTGTCTGTAGATGTTCTTTGTCAGAGATGGTGCTCTATGGACAAGTGAGTTGATTGCAGACTGTTTCTGTGATGAATGGTGGTGCGACTCGGCATGTAGGTATCTATCTGTGTGTATTGGTTTTCTGTACACTTGATGGCCTAAGATACCGTCAGCTTTCTTAGAGACAAGAACATCTAGAAAGTGGAGTTTTCCTCTATGTCTAGTGGATATTTTGATGTTGATTGTTGAGGAAAATAAGGAACTTACGGAGTTCGGCTCTGCCGTGTCTCTATATCACGAATGTGTCGTCTACATAACGGAACCAAATTTCTGGTTTCTTACGAGGGTTGTCCCAGAAGTACCCGACCTGACGTACAGATTTGGCGATGTGTCGCAGCAACAAAGCCGAATTTTTGCGCCGATTCATAACCATGGATGAAACATGGGTCCACCATGAAGGGGGGAGGCTTCACACCTGAAACAAAGGAACAGTCGAAGCAATGGACTGAAAAGAGGAAATCGGCTCCGAAGAAAGCAAAAACAGTTCCATCGGCAGGCAAGGTCATGACGTCAGTTTTCTGAGATGCGCGTAGCATAATTTTCGTTGATTACCTTCAGAAAGGAAGAACAATCAATGGCGAGTATTATGCGAACTTATTGCAGCGTTTGGATGATAAAATCAAGGAAAAACGGCCACATTTGGCGAAAAAGAAAGTGTTGTTTCATCAAAACAATACACCAGTTCACACATCCATTATCGCGATGGCCAAAATCAATTAGTTAAAGTTCGAATTGCTTCCCCTATTCGCCAGATTTAGCCCCCTCGGATTATTTTCTCTTTCCAAACTTGAAAAAATGGCTCGATGGTAGAAGATTTAGCAACAATGAAGAGGTGGAGTCTGTGGTTAATGGCTATTTTGAGGAGTTCAACGGTTCTTACTATAAACAGGCCATCGAAGCTATTGAACATCGCTGGGAAAAGTGTATCGAGCTAAAAGGAGACTATGTTGAGAAATAAAGATATTTTTTACCAAATTTTTTGTGTTTTCTTTGTTATGTCTATGTTATGGGTACTTCTGGGACCACCCTCGTAGATGTTTTCCTGAGGGCCTCTTTTGCAAAATGCTCCATGAAGATGTTGGCAATTACAGGAGAAATAGGAAAGTCCATTGCCGCTCCTGAAGTTTGTTTATAAGATTGTTATAGGAGAAATAAGTGGTTGTTGAGCAGTGCTCTATTAGTTGGATGAGGTCGGAGGTGACTTTACGTGATGCCTTTATTATGTTTAATGTGGCTTTTATTGGAACTTGTGTGAAAAGGGATTCTACGTCGAAACTTACAACAAATCTGTGGGACGTAGTCGGATTTTTTGAATCTTGTTTATAAAGTCCGTTGAGTTGGTTATGTGTGATTCGGATTTTCCAGTGAGGGGTTGTAGTGTTTGTGCCAGGAAGCGGAATAAATTGTATGTCGGGGAGTGTATGGCGCTGACAATCGGAAGGGGATGTTTGGTTTGTGTACTTTTGGTAGTCATATAGTCTTGGTAGAAGAGGATTTGTAGGTTTTAATGTTGATTTGGTTTTACTGGGAATGTTGCTTTTCTCCACTAGGATCTTGGTGGTTTGTGCGATTGTATTAGTTGGATCTTTGACAAGCTTTTTGTATGCTTTGTCCGAAAGGAGGTTCTTCATCTTTTTCTTATAGTCTGATGTGTTCATGACTACAGTCGTGTTGCTTTTATCGGCTGGACGCACGATGATGTTTGTGTTCCTGTTATGATCTTGGAGAGTCAATCGCTCTTATCTAGTAATGTTAAGTGGAGGGCTTTGAAAAAGATATTGGTTACCTGTCTGTGAATATTATCTTCTTGTTCCGATGGGAGTCAGTAGATGGTTGACTCTATTTGGCTGATAATCTCTTTCTTTGGAATCTTTCTAAGTGTCACTGCGAAGTTAGGTCCTTTGGCAAGCGCAGATATAGTGTTTTGAGACAAGTTTTTGTTGGATAGGTTCTTGACGTTAAGTAGAGAGGGTTGTGGATTTTTGTGAGGGACAAAGTTTATGTATTGTATTTCTGTTTCTGTCTTTCAGAGGATTTTGTGTGTGTGTCTTCATGGCTTGTTCATATGTAATACGATCTAGGGTTTGTCAGATATTATGCCGCAACGTGGCGGAATGGGTGGAGGAACAGGTGGAGTTTAAAGATTTTATGGGAGATCTGGGCTATTTGTGACTTGGAAGTGGATGCGTTCTTTGGTGAGGATGAGGCTAGTTTTATAAAGGATGTTTTTGGATTTGTGAGTTCCTAGGTGGTTCTCGAGTTGTAGGAATTTTGGGATGATGTTATTATTCCTGCAGCGTTTTAGAAATGTCAAGTTTGATAGTTTTTTGGCTAGGTAATCTTGTCCCTTATAAAAATCTACAACCCTCTCTACTTAACACATTTACACTCCCTGACATACAATTTATCCTGCTTCCTGACACAAACACTACAACCCTTCACTGGAAAATCCGAATCACACATAACCAACTCAACAGACTTCATAAAATCCAAAAAATCCAACTATGTCCCATAGATCTTGTAAGTTTCGACGTAGAATTCCTTTTCACACAAGTCTCACAATAAAAGACACATTAAACAAAAAAGACCTCACATAAAGTCCCCTTCGACCTCATCCCGCTAATAGAGCACTGCTTAACAATCACTTACTTCTCCTATAACAACCAATTTTATAAACAAACTTTAGGAGCGGCAATGGGATCTCCTATTTCTTCTGTAATTGCCAACATCTTCATGGAGCATTTTGCAAAAGAGGCCCTCAAGAAAACATCTAAGAAACCAGAAGTTTGGTTCCGTTATGTAGACGACACATTCGTGATATGGAAACACGGCAGAGCCGAACTCCGTAAATTCCTTATTTTCCTCAACAATCAACATCAAAATATCCACTTCACTATAGACATAGAGGAAAACTCCACTTTCTAGATGTTCTTGTCTCTAAGAAAGCTAACGGTATCTTAGGCCATCAAGTGTACAGAAAACCAACACACACAGATAGATACCTACATGCCGAGTCGCACCACCATTCATCACAGAAACAGTCTGCAATCAACTCACTTGTCCATAGAGCACCATCTCTGACAAAGAACATCTACAGACAGAACTCAATCACTTAAAACTAACCTTATAGAAAAATAGACATGACAAAAAAGACATAATGAAAACAATCAATAAACATGCAAACAAGACAACGGTCTCTGACACACAACCAGACGAAAAGATTCTATCCATTCTCCCATATATCAAAGGAACAACAGATTGGATTGGCAGGATATTAAACAAACACAATATCCGAACTATTATTAAACCATCCAAAAAGATAGGACAAATCTTAAGAAATCCTAAAGATCAGAGACCTCTAGATTCAGTACCGCAGGAGTATACAAAATACCTTATTTCTGCGGGCAAGTATGTATATGGTACATTGGAGAAACCCGGAGAATGGTCTACCTACGAATGAAAGAACACCAACGTACCGTCAGGCTAAAATACGTCACGCAGTCAGCATTATCAGAACACAATATCGAAACAGGACATCAAATACTGTTTGATAAAACGACCACAATAGCCAACATTGCTTCATACATTCCAAGAAAGTATAGAGAAGTCATAGAGATATAGAAACATCCTAACAATCTAAATAAAGATAATGGCTACAACATAAATAAAATATGAAAAATCATTCTCCCGGTTATTGAAGACTGACCAATTCCCCTTCCTCTCTCTCTTCCCCCCTCCTTCATCCATAATTCTCTTCTTTCCCCCCACCACTCCAACAAGTAGAGTATAAAAAGGAACGACCCAGCGGAACAGCTCAGGCTGGTCTTCGCCCCGAAGTGGATTGCAAGGTTCACGAAACGTTGGTATTTCAAGAATGGATCTGGACGGAGGAAACCCGCGAAACGCATAACTTTTATATAGAAAGCACCCGTGGAAGCTTCAAAAATATTAAGAATATATTATATTAAATTAGTCCATTAGCGACGTGCATATCGAATCTCTGTCATTAATGTTATATTAATAAAGAAGTATGTATAATTTCCATACATTTATTAATAAAGAAGTACGTATAATTTCCATACATTTCCATAATTTCATTTTTCTTTGACACCTAAAGACGCCAGTTTCACGAACAGATTTAATACTTTACTAGCACTGTAAACTGTACGCATGCGCGAGTGCGGGGAATATCTGCTATTACTGGTTCGGGGAGTGCTGTTAGCGACATTTGTATCATTCTATCTTCATTGTTCATTATATAAAAAACAAGGATAAAATGACATATATAATGTTAATACTGTCTTCCTGAAAGCACTCTAATCATAACGTTTTGTGTGATTTTTAATCAATGTGCATTGTCAAGCGTCCGAATATATATACAATATAAAATAACACTTGCAAAGTAGCAATTGGTTATTTAATGCTGATGAACATATTATGATTTTTGCTGTGAACATCATTTTTGTCAATTATTTTCCGACGTTTGTTCGTTTTTTCGATAATTATGCCTTTCACAAATCAAGAAAGCAGAATTTGATATGTTAAATGCTAGAGAATGTCTACAGAATAACAAAGGTACTGAACGTCTTTATGTTAAACAATATCCTCTTCATGATTATCTTTCTCATTATGTTTTCCAGCTGTTTGGAAAATTGTATTTGTAGAACTGAGCTGGTTTAGCCACAGCAAAATGTTCATATTAAGTGATCTGTGTGCGAAGTTAGAACTGTTAATGTTCTTAGTACTGTAATCGTTAATTCTCAGTAACCACTATTAGAAAGATTTCAATTGATTTTGTTAAGCAGGATAACTACGTTGAGAATTTTAAAAAAGAACTATTATACTACCGTACTCATCACATCCACTCTCAAGAATTGGAAGCAAATGTAACGTTTTTTTACTTTCAAAAACTTTAAATAATATCAAAAAAGAATTTAAGCAGAAAGTCGTTCCTTCTTAAGAAACCTATCCAATGGTCCCCTAGTCAACCTAAATTCCCATTTACAATTTTAGACTTAATCCAGATTTACCCTACTTTCGATACTTTCTGGAAAATCATATTACTATTAGGTAGTTCACATAGAGAGATTTTGATAATAAAATTTTTTTCCCACTTTTGACCATTAGCCATTTCCGAAAAAAAAAAGGTTAGTACGGATAAAACACGCTACATATGTATACAATATCCGTACGTATAGGATATACTTCATATATCATATCTTTATTTCTATCAGATGATCGTACTGAACATCTACAATTATATCTGTAATTTTTACTTGAAAGATAAGCATAATCATTAAAAGACAAATTTTTTTACTTATAATACAAAAAGTAATTTTCTATGCGGTGGAACACTATTATGCTTTTTACAAATATAATAAAAATTTATATAACAGTTTGACAAAATTAATAATTTATTTAACTTATATATATATTTAATAAATAGCATGAATGTTCAATTAATAATGGTGGAATTATTATAAATTATAAAATACGTTTTTTTTTTTTTCAGAAAATAATACATTAAAGAAATATTGTATACGAAGAAGTAATGGAAAGAATACTTTCAACTGTGACAATTCACATGTATGTATTTTGCAAACAAGCAATTGATATTCCTATAAAATTAGTTTTGCAGATTTTTTTGAATATTATATGTTAACAGTAAATATAATAAAGCATAATCAAATAGAATCTCACATTGTTGCATATCAGGAAGTCGAATTTGAACAGCATTTGGTATATTTACGCGAATCGTACCTGTAACAAAAGAAAGAATTATTAATAGTTAAAATTTTGGAGAATTTCTAACAGTCGTATACATTCGTATTACTTAAAAGTGAATTAGTTTCGACAAAAGAGATACTTATTTTTGACTTAATATCTTTTATTGCAGAGAATGGTAAGATAGTAAAGATACCACACAAATTTAGTTTACGTGGTGTTCCGACAACGAAAGTATTAATAGGTGGACAGATCTATAAAGAAGATTAATTATGAATACTATATTTAGTCATCGTATGGAAGAAGGTCATTATACGAGTATCGAGAACGTCTTGAATGAAAATTGATGATACGCAAATTATAATAAAACAATGGTCTAGAGATGCTAAAGGTACTCCTATATTAGAAATACCTTAAATAAAAATATTATTAATACAGAAATATCTTAAATAAAAATATTATTAATACAGAAATATCTTAAATAAAAATATTTTTGAGGAAAATTTAAAGTTACTTTTTTGTGATATTATTAATATATTATTAAAATATTATTAAGATATTATTAATATATTATCTGCAATATATGTGTAACATCTCAATCTAGATCGTAAATATATGTTGCTTATTATATATCTTTTGTAATATTTTTCTGTAAAACATATATTTACGATCTAGATTGAGATGTTACACATATATTGCAGACAATATATATACCACAAAAAAATAATAGTAACTTTAAATTTTCTTCAAAATATGTTTATTTAAGGTATTTCTGTTCTGATTCAAATAATAGCTTTAATTGTTCTTCAAAGACAATTACATAAAAATTATTATATCATCACAAAATTTACTTAATTCCAGTGATATACAGGGTGGTAAAGTGTTATAAGCTAATAACTCTAAAAATATTTGTCCTATCAAAAAGTCGTTCATGAGAAAGTTTCATATATTCAAGGGATTTTTCTAACTATGTAAACAAAAATTCACCCCCCCCCTCTTTTGAAGAGAGACAAAGAATAACATCAAAGTCCCAAATGGAATTCTCCATAAAATATTACATAGATGGATTCTACGAGAAAAAAATAACTAAATTTTAAAGTAGAGTGCTTTCAAACTAATGATAAAAGTATAAATTAAATAAACTTCATTGTTTTCTGTTCTTTTTTTACTGTATTAAATGTTCGATTTGTCACATTCAAACACTTATTGATTCATTTTTGTATAAATTTTGTATAACTCTAAACAACATTTCTGGAGTCATGTTAGCGCAAGCTTCTCGTATTCTTTGTTTTAAATTTTCTCACATTAAGTAGTAAGTAATTCTTTTAGAGAGAGAGAGAGAGAGAAAATCCAGTAGTTAATAATGATAACAGTGTCAACATTCTCGCAGCAGTTGATCCACATCAGTAAATCCACGTGTTAGTCAACGCAAATTAGCACATCTGGAGTTATACGATCTTCAATATAGCGAATACTGGAAAAATTAATTTTGACATATTTAATTTTGATTCAAGAACTTTTAGGAGCTGATTATGAACGTTGTTTAATATTTTGCGAGTGGATACGTGATGTCATGGAAAATGATTTATTTTTACAAAATATTTTTTTTTCTGATAAAGCACAATTTACCAACACTGAGCATATTAATAGACACAATATGTACTATTGGTCACATGAGAATCCTAAATGGATGCGTACAATTATTTCACAATATTGTTGGTCACTAAATGTATGATGTGGAATAATTGGCGATTTTGTAATTGGACTATATTATTTTGATGGTACTGTTAATACTGTCCTATTGTGATTTATTGAGCAATCATTTTCCTCTACTTCTAAAAAAATATTTAACGTAAGAAGAGAAATTTGGTTTCAACAAGATGGTGCCCTTCTTGTTCTAAAGCTACAACACGCAAAAAAAATTAATATGTTTTAAATAAGGAGTTCAATAAAAATCTTATAAATTCTTTATGAGAATTTAATAAAAATCCATATAAGGACTTTATATAACCTAATAAATGAATGCCAACATGTTGCATTATACTGTGCATCTTTCAATTAGTTTATATTAACAACTTATTAAGTTTAATAAGACTTTATTAGACCTTATTTGAATCCAATTTATACAATTTAATTAAATCTTAATAAGTTTTTAATAAGTTGTGTTAATAAGTTTTAATACGAGTATGGTCTTAATTTATTAAATGTGTGTTTGTACATAGAATACGTCTAAAAAATGACTAAAATACGACTAAGTTAAGACTTCTTTTAATTTTTATATTTTTTATATATGTAACGTTTAACATTAATGTAATAACATTAGATAGGCTGCTGGAACAATGGTAAAATATGGCATAATATTTTTTATTAGCTGTAGCAGCCAATAAAAACA